GATGCTGCTAGGTTAGTTGTCTTTTGTTGTTAGGTTATTTCTTTCTCACTGCTAGGTTAGTTGTCTTTTGTTGCTAGGTTCTTTTATTTTTTTAAACAAACAACGCCCCGGAAAGGCGGGGGATTGGGCTGGATCCCCAACCTGTACATAGATCAAGACCCGGAAACTGGGGCCCAAAGTGTCAACAAACTACAAAGTATCTGGAGCAAAACCAAACAAAACCAACAAAAGAAAACCAAAAGGAAAAAAGATACAAAGTCTGTCCACAGGCTAACAGGTGCCCGAAAGCAAGATCCAATCTAATGAGAGCAAAAACCTAATCTACTAAAATCGGAAACATGGATATCCAAGCTGTCCATCCGAACAAGCGTGCGAAGGCGGAGTGGAGCAGTGTCGGTCTGAAATGTATGTGTGTCTGGTCTGGTGGCGCCAAGGCTGGCAAGATAGTCGGCAGGTTTGTTCCCCTCACAGAAAATGTGCGTGATCCTGTGATGGACAGACCGGAGTAGGGTTATTTGCTGCTAGGTTAGTTGTGTTTTGTTGCTAGGTTATTTCTTCCTCGCTGCTAGGTTAGTTGTCTTTTGTTGTTAGGCTATTTGTCTTTTATTGCTAGGTTATTTGTCTTTTGTTGTTAGGTTAGTTGTCTTTTGTTGCTAGGTTATTTCTTTCTCGCTGCTAGGTTAGTTGTCTTTTGTTGCTAGGTTATTTGTCTTTTGTTGCTAGGTTAGTTGTCTTTTGTTGCTAGGTTATTTGTCTTTTGTTGCTAGGTTAGTTGTCTGATGCTGCTAAGTTAGTTGTGTTTTGTTGCTAGGTTAGTTATCTGATGCTGCTAAGTTAGTTGTGTTTTGTTGCTAGGTTAGTTGTTCTTAAGTTAGTTGTGTTTTGTTGCTAGGTTAGTTAAGTTAGTTGTGTTTTGTTGCTACGTTAGCCGGAGGGCGGGGGATTGGGCTGGATCCCCAACCTGTGCATAGATCAAGACCCCAAAACGGGGGCAAAAAATATCAACAGTCTACAAGATCTCACTAGCGAAACAAATACAAAGTCTGTCTATGGGCTAACAGGTGCCCGAATAAAAAAATGAGAATCTAATGAAATGACAACAAAGAAAACCTAATCTACTGAAAACGGAAAGATGGATATCCAAGCTGGTCCATCCGAACAAGCGTGCGAAGGCGGAGTGGAGCAGTGTCGGTCTGGAACGTATGTATATCGGGTATGGTAGCACCAAGGCTGGCAAGGTAGTCAGCAGGTCTGTTCCCCTCACGGAAAATGTGCGTAATCCTGTGGTGGACTGGCCGAAGTATATCTCTAATGCGCATAAGTGGGTGCTGAATCTGCCACGAGCCCTGATGGCCCGAAGTCAGGAGGGTGGCGACAGCCGCAGCATCCAGTTCGATCCATATATGACTAGAGAGGTGGGCAGCAATCTGTAGGCCAATCTGTAGTGCCTGAATCTCTGCATCGTAGCTCGAGGAGGCCTGAATGGACGCGCGGAAAGCAGTGATGAGGGCGCCGCTATGGTCTCGAATCAAGCCTCCTCCTCCGGCAACTCCAGTGTGGCGATCAAATGAGCCATCAGTGTTCAGCTTGACCCACGGAGAGTCAGGTCGAAACCAAACAACAGCTCTGGCCCGAGGAGGCCGAACAGGCGGTGGAGGGGCCACCATGAGGCGATGCGGTGGCGTGCAGCCTGTCCAGTCTCGGGCAGTGAGCCTGCCCAATGCGATGAGGAGTGAAATATGTCTCTCAACCTGCAAAACAATGTGAGAAAACATAAAAGTAATATCCCTATGCTTCGCACTATTCCTTTCTGTCCAGGTGAACCAAAGGATCAGACAAGAAATGAGGAAGGCCACGTGTCTAAGGTGTGTGCTCTGTGAGAAAAAACTTAGGAGCTCAAAAAAACTGTATGTGGTGGGTAGGGATATATGAGTCCAAGTGGCAAAATGCTCCCACACTCTCCTCACAATCTCACTCTCTAGAAAAAGGTGGATAAAACTACAATACTCAAGGTTGAGTGTCTTTTGTTGCTAGGTTATTTATTTCTTGCTGCTAGGTTATTTGTCAACGGGTCAACGCCGGAAGTCAACGATTTTCGCCGAAAGTCAACGGTCAACGCCGGAGTCAACTAATAATTATTTTATTATTTAATTAATATATATTTTAATTGATTTTGATCTAGACAAAATGAGTGGCTAAGATTGAGTCTCACGTACTCATTTTAAGGAGTGGTCTCATTGGATCCGTCCCCTATATATATATATTGTTTTGGAAGAAGAAATGTGAACAAATTATTTGATTTAAAATCAAACATTTTTTTCAAAGAGAATCAGTAAATCTCGGGTATATGTGGATCTCAATTTTTAAATAATAATTTGTACACAATTTATATGCAGATAACAATATCGGCCATAATTAAAGTGTGTGAACTGGTTTTGAATAATAATTGGTAAGTTTAGATAAGTGTAAATTTAAATTTCAAAGGTAAGCTTTTTCAAACAAAGATTGACTATCTATTAATGAAAAATTAATAGATTAAAAAAAGATGTCAAAGAAAATAATTGAATAAGACGCAACTTTATTTTTTCAATTGAACTAGTGCGTGGCCCGTGCGATGCACGGAAAAACAATATTACGATTGTATTATAAATTAAATATATAAAAAACATTAATCATGATTCATCTATTGTTTTAAAATTAAATCGGATTGAACACAATCCAACCGGATGGACTGAGAACTGGTTTATAACCAGTCTAGTTCGCTTGAATTTAATATTTGCTCTCGAATCCGTCAACACCAGTCGGTTGGACTGATAGGATCGATACGATTTTATAAATAAATTTTGTTATATTTAAAATTATTTTAAATAAAATTACATATTTAAATAAAATAGAGATTTATAAGTCATTTATCAATTAGTTTAAACATTTGAATTTATAATTTGTTAGATATTTAAGTAACACATTTTATTTAAATTTATCACAAAATATATATATATCACAAAAAGTACTATATATATTAAAATATTTATAAATTAAAATATGAACAAACTACAAATGATTTAATAAAATAGTTTGATCGTTTCGATGATGGTCCAGTTCTGAATACCTTATATTTACTGTACATTAATAAATATTATAATAAAATATTATTTAATTCACATAGATATTAATAAAATGATGTACAAATATTCATAAATCATTAAACATGTTTTTATAAAAAGTATTGTTAATACAATTATTTGAAGTTTGAATTACATCACATTCACGTAATAAAATATTTTTAATATAAAATTTATATTTAAGTTCAATAATCGATTTGGTGTGGTCGAACTCATACATAACTTAGTCACTTGGGACCAACCAAGTTGTGTCAAGTTTTTTTACTATTTTAAATATCACCTAAAAGTAATTCAATCAACCTATACAGTACCCTAATTCAATCACCTGATTGATCCGAATAATTTTTTTTATTTTCTTTAAATATATTTAATTTTATGAAATAAAAATATTTTATGGTTCATATAATAAATTTCTACACCAAATGATAGTATATTAAGATTATAAATTATATATCTAAAGATGAATTAATTATTTTTATTTTATGCATATTAATAAAAATAAAAATAGTAATTTTTAAAAAACTAAGATTAACTGATTGATTTTGCAATTTAAATAATATTTAGCGTTCAATATTTTTTTTAAAGGCACAAATATAAAGACCGAGATTCTAAAACTTTTGTTATATTTTGAATTGAGATTTTATATATATAGAGACCGAAATTTTAATATTGTTCGTTGTTTCTAAGAAAAAAATAAAAATAAAAACATACACACTTAATAAATCTTAGCCGAATTTTTTAAATAATAAAATAAACTAAATTTCGAAATTTAAGGTAGCATTTAATGCTGTATGATTTTTAAAGAAAAAATAAAAAATAATAATAAAACTTACTATTTATAGGCTGCATTAAATTCTTACTTATTTTTTTGCTACTATTTTTGGTAAATGGTAATTCTTATTATATATATATAGATTGCCCATTTTCTAGTAAGAAAAACTTGTTTTTTTAAAAGATACTGAAAATAAACTTTTATTTGGTTCATTATTAGTCAATCGTGATTTTTTTTATTAAAGTTGCCAAACAAATCAATTGGATCAATCGCAATATTTGGTGAAAAAGTTGTTTCCATGATAAAGTTTTAAATCAACAGTAATTTCCTTGTGTAATTTAACAAATTTCAAATTTTAATGTCAAATTAATGTATTCCGATTTTCTTTAAATAAAAATAAATAACAAATGCCACAATTTAAGGACAACATATAATGTTGTCATTTTTTGCAAAAAAAATTAAAAAGTTACTATGAATGACATGTAATTAATGTTGATTGGGTTTTGACCAAAACTAGTTTACCTCTTTTTTTTTTAAATGTCATTTTGGTTTTATCAACAATTAACCAAATAAATGACGTTTTGGATCTTTTGTACATATTTTTCCATTATTAACTTCATCTAGCTAATAAATATACTACATCTTTTCATTTTTATTTTTCATCTTTTCTCAAAACATCCATCTCTATCCTCATTAATGAGGGTTATTATTGAAAAAAAAAATTCTTAATTGCTGTGCAACTTCTCAAAACGACACTTATTAAAAAAAGAGGGGAGTACTATATAATAGGGAGAAGAAAAAAAATAAGATAATAGTATGTCATTTTCCCACTCATTTTTTCATTTTATACCATTAATGGAATTGTTTTTTGAAATTTTTTGGATTCTCCCGCTTATGTATTCAATTTTTTGTGCGGTTGAATTTTATGATAGATTTGTTAGGATTCTCCAATTTCATATCATACCGTATTAACAACAAATGAAAGCAATAAGTTTTTCAAAAAATAAAATATACACTTGGATATTAGTGGTAGATAAAGTAGTTACCCTTTTTTTTTGTGACATTTAGAATCCAGATTTATTAAAAATAATTTTATTAATTTATCTCTAAAGTTTGTTAGGATTCTCAAATCCCAACTATTTCATTTAATTAAAGATTTTGAAATTATAAGAAAAAATATACGGTATCAACAAAGCAAAACAAAACAAAACAAAACAAAAAATGCCTAAATAACAAATGGAATTTTTAATAAATAAAAAGATACATAAATTCGGATTCAAATGGCTTATTTAAGTAAGAGTTACCATTTTTTTGCGACTCTTTGAATCCAAAGTGTTAAAATTTGTTAGGATTCTCAAATCTCAACTATCAAATCCCTCCTTTAATATAATTTCAAAACGTGTTGAGCCTAAATGGTTGGATCGCACGTTTCGGAAGCATACTTGACAACATTACATACTTTGGTTTTTGGTTTGGATAAAAATTATTTTTGCTTAATCTGATCCCCTCCATCTAAAATAAATAGGATTCTTATATCCCGTGTAACTCCAAAATAAATAGGATTTTTATATGCGTGTAAATAGGATTTTTTGCTTTTTGCCCGATCCCTCCAACTCCAAAATACGTAGGATTCTTATATCCCGTGTAAATAGGATTTTTTACTTTTTCCTTAATCCGATCCCCTCCAACTCTAAAATAAATAGGATTCTTATACCGTGTAAATAGGATTTGCTTACACGGGTTAAGAATCCTATACCAATATTATAATATATTTTTGGATTATAATATATTTTTAGAATGTTATATCTCGATTGTCTAGAATGTTATATTATTTTTCTAATAAATTTACCCTACATATAGAAATATAACTACAACAACTTGGTTTATTATGTATAAAAAACTTTGATTTATAATCTATAAAAAATCTTGATTTATCACAGATACAAATTCAATTCTATAATTATCAAGACAATTATAAAATATTTCAAAATTATTCACAAAAATATTATCAAAAAGAGTTATTTATAAAATTAGAATGTTATAAAAAGGATGGTGAAAATTTCAAACATGTTAATAAATTCTATTTTAACATCCATGAAAATATTTTTACCATGTTTTCAAAATAGTTATAAAAATATTTTAAAATAATTTATATATAGAAAAGTAAGACTTTTTTATTGAATTATAACAACTATTCATGAATATTTATTTGCACGAATATTGCTAGGTCGATGCATTTTTTTTCATGAACAATGTATTTTAAATATTTAGTTTGATTTTGTATTCATACAAATTATTGATTTATAATTAATTTTATACCTTCACACTAAAATTGTTATGCGTGCATGACATTTATCTGATTGTTATAAATTTCATAAGTGCACGGGTAAGAGATATTCATCCCCCTTAATATAATTTCAAAACGTGTTGAGCCTAAATGGCTGGTTCGCATGCTTCGGAAGCTTACATGGAAATAAATTATATTTATCTTTATAACAATAATAATTTTTTTAATATTAATTAGAAAAATAAAATTATTTATCCATTAATATATTTATAAACAAAAGGTGGTATTTTCTATTTTTGCACTTTTATACGACAACATGTGTTTTTTCTATTATTTTATGTTTTATATTTTTTTTTTCAGACAACCCGTGTAGTACACGGGTGTCGTACTAGTTTGATTTAATTAATAAAATTTTTAATAATAAATTGGATTTTAAAACTCAATATGTACATCCCAACATCTTCCCAATGCTAAAGAAGCCAAACTATCAAAAAATATTAAAATCTATTACTATAAAATAACAATAGGGATTTACATTAAGTAGAAAGTAAAATCCTACCTAAAAGTTTAGATTTTACTACTATTGATAACTTTTTGGAATTATTTGAAAAATTGAAGGTTGATTTGTAATTTGAATTTCATATTCATTCAAACATTTAAAGGAAAATATCATAATCAGATTTTTTTGGATACATTTCATTTTATCTTACCTTACATATATTCGCATTCCTAACAAACATCAAATTTGCTTATATATTTTAAAATTAATTACATCAATAAATAATATTAATATACATTACATATTTATCATTATATAAAAAAAAAAATTACTTCTTTAAGTATTATAAATAATAATGACCTTATACGACAAAAAAATTTGTGAATAAAACAATATTTGAGTATTTTGATGAACTAAATATATAAAAATATTATTTTTTTCAATATTAAAAAATAAACATATATGTTAAGATATTATTTATATTCATATAGACGGGTCAGCAGGCTAATATATTGTTAAAATAAAGTTTTGAAAAATTATTCTAAAGTACTAGACACCGAGCATCGCATAAGATTCTCACTAGTAGAGGAAGAAGTAATGTGTTGTTAAAAAAAGAATAAAATAAGAAAGTGAATCTAAATATTAATAAAAAAAATTTTATATACAACATTTGCCGTTGATTGCAAATTTTAATATATTCGGCTTTGATTATGTTTTCAATAAATAAAATGACTAATAATTTTTGTATGAATTGCAGGAACAATTTGTGGAGTTGGTTGAAGATTTTATATTTTTAAGATGTATTTAAGTTTTGATATTGTTGTTGTATCTTTCTAATAAAAAATATCAGTTTGTTTTTTTTGTTGGATATTGTATAACCATAATACAAAATGAGAATATTAGTTTTAAAATAATTTAATATTGTATATTCAGAAAATTTAAAATTTTGTCAAGCTGTTACAGAATAAAAAATTAATAATAATAAGTTTTTAATTATATAGCTGTCATTGAACGCTGGACATAAATATTTTTATTAAGTGAAGTCCTATTTTTATTACTTGTTGGCTGAATAAAATTTATCGAAACTTGCCAGCAAATACATATATATATATATATATATATATATATATATATAGAGAGAGAGAGAGAGAGAGAGAGAAGGGATCATATGAGAAAGAGATATAGTCAAAGAAATAAGAATGATTCTGCACCATTGGATTCACCTAACCAATGGTTATAATCAGTCAAAATTACATAAATAATAGTTAAATATGAGTGGCAATATGGTAAATAAGTATATAAATCGTGGTCAAATATATGCTTTTTACCACTTATATGGGTAAACTAGTCATTACTCATCCAATAAATAATCAAACACTAATGTGGACCCCACCGTTAACCCTTCCCCTCCCCCATCTCACACACACAAATACACACACAAAAATATGATTTTTTCACGCACACACACACACGTCACACATAGACACAGACACACAGACACACACACACACACACGGCCACAGACGGTGACACTCCAGTCCAAAGCCACCGCCCGCCATCTCTGACATCACCCATAGCCGCCTCGCCATCACCAGATCCAGCCACCCACCGTCGGTCGCCGCCCGTATGCCACACACCGCCATCGCCAGATCCAGCCACCCACCGTTGTCAATCCTAGTCTGATGCCCAGCCACCCGCTGCCACACACCAGACCGTCGGTTTCGTCGAACATTCCATCACCGTCCACCGACAGTGCAGTCGCTACCGCCACCGGAGGTCCACCCAGCTACAGTAGGTCTCGCCGAAAAATAGCAACAGCCACGGGAAATTTAGTCGAGAAACCGTTGCTTCAAAAAAACTCTCGCCGGTGTTTAGAATGCCCCGCCTTCCAGAGAACTCGCCAATAATGTCGCTGTCAGCCACCGCCTTACAGTGACGATGCTCTGAAGCGGCAGACCTCGGCGGCCCGACGCAACGGCGACGGCGGTCCGACAGCGGATGCGTGTTGTGTGTGAATCGATGACGGCGGTGTGCTGAAGGGAGATGGACGACCGGAAAAAATAATGCTCATGACTGAGGAGTTCATTCCTTAATTTTATTTTATTTTGTTGAAAATGGATTTTGGGGCTTTTTTATGCAAATTAGATAAACTATATGTGCTAAATTGCAATTTTAAAAAACTTTAATTATAAATCAATATAATTGCTGATTAATTTTATAATTTACTAAAAATCTATTAAATATAGAATGTTGATAAATAATTTTAATAATATATGTATGGTTGTTCAATTTAAATTTCATAAATTTTAATATTAGTATTTATATTTTCTAATTGATATTTTATATTATTGTTTGATTAAAAAATTAGTATACATGTAGAAAAAAATATACTGTACAATATAACAGTTACTACAGTACAATTCGTCCAACAATATGGTGCACGCTGTCGGTTGTATTGTGCAGATTGAACCATCCGGACTTTTGTCCCAACATCAAATTGAAAATGAACATAATTAATTGGGTTATTCGATTCGGTTAACCGAATAATCCCCAAATAATCAAAATAAATTTTTTATTTATATCAACATTATATTTAATATGTTAATAATTTTATTTATAATCCTTATATTATTTTAGGTTGAAAAATTTTGAGTTTGGTCGATTTCTATTGTGCAATATGATAGCATGTTAAAGTGCAACGTGATGTTTTGTAAAGTGCAACACATCGTTTTATATAGTGCAATGTGTTGTGTATAAAGTGAATTATTGTAATTTTAGTACTTTAGCATGCTTGTGTTTTGTGTGGATAAATCATGTGATTGATGTCAAAGTATTATTTATATCCTTTTTTTGGAATTATGTTGTGTGATATTTCTAGGGGGTGCTGTGAACGTTAGTCGTTGAGTGTGGCGATAAAGTGCAACATTTGTTTTATAAAGTGCAATGTATTGTTCTGTAAAGTGCATCGTATTGATATATAAAGTGCACTACTTTATATGATCACATATAAAATATTTATTTTTTAAAACTAGATTTAGTACATATAATTGTACATCGAATTAAGCTAAATAATTGAAACAATTTATTATTTACGATGATAGAAATGTATTTATTATTTTAATAACTTGTATATTATAACAAATTATTGTTATTTATTATTAGAAAACGTATAATTTATTATTGATTATTATAATATTTTTTATAAAAGAATAATTTATTATTTTTTTTTTCCCAAAACGATAGATAGTATTATAAATCAAAATGCACAAATGTGCGAATACACAGCAGCCAACGACTGAATACACAGCAGCCAACAGCTGAAAAAAGTGGGAGGACAGGTCAGAAGACCGCCTAGAATCCCGGCTAGCAACACTAGAATAAAAAAACACTCAAAACTAAACTAATAACAACACAAACAACTAAAACAAACTACAAGGACCCCAACAGGGTAATACCCGAGTGTCGGATCCCAACAGAATAATTTATTATTTATTCTTGTAAAAGTATAATTTATTATTTATGATTATAATTTTTATATTTTATAATAGTAAAATGTATAAAACTAATATTTCACTTAATATTTTTATTTAATTTTTGATAATTTTATATTATATTAAAAAAATCAAAATATTAAAATATATAAAAAGTATTATTCTCTATTGCAAATATGTAATGTATATAGATGTGATAAAAAAATATAGATTATATACACTTTTTTATAAATTACATATTGGGCCCCATATACTAAATTGAAAAAAAATAAAAATTCTTAAAATTGCAATCAAGTCCTTTGAGATTATCAAATTCCTATTAAAATGCCCCATCTCCCAAGTTACTTTCTTCCAGCCACTGTTGCTTGATCAGCCGCAAGCAGAGGCACAAACTTGAATGTATAAAGCGGTAGGCACTGCCAGTGGCGGTGGCGACGTGTGCGCGTGACTGCGAGCTCCGTGATTGCTGATGCAAAGATCCCGACGACGATCAGTTGCCGGATTTTGTCCGAGATTTGTGGTTGAGGTTTGATGGCGGCAGCGGATCGAAGCTCTGGCACGTGCGGCGGCGCGGCGGACTAGCGGAGGTGCGGCGACGACTAAGCCGTCGGTCAGTTGTGACGCCGCCGATAATTGGGTGGCCGGTGACGGGGACATTCATCTTCGTCAACTGCCGTGCGTGTGTGTGTAATGTGTGTGTGTTGACTGAGTTATATGTGTGTGTGTGTGTGTGTCAGTGTGTGAGAGAGAGTGTGTGGGTGGCGTAAGTGGGGTGTGGTGGGGTGGTTTGACTGGTATTATTAATGGTGATAGGTGGGGGGTTGGGTTGAATGTTATTAATGGTGGTAGGTGGCAGAATTTTAATTTGGGAGTGGGGCCCACTTGTTGAGTGTAGTGTTGAAAAATTATTGTAATACCCTTAATGAAAGTATATTTTTTACTTTTTTATATGTCGTTGGATCATACAATCCAATAGCTACGATTTATTTTTATTTCTTTCACTAAGCACCATTTTCATGTGAGTGCGACCCTATATATATATATATATATATATATATATATATATATGTATATATCGAAAAAACTAAAATTGAATTGGTACAAGAATGATAATCAAATCAGTCAATATTATATTTTTAGCAGATGTATTGTATTGAAAAGTCCAATTACCAATTTAATGAAAAATCTTTTGTTTTAATTCATGATTGAAAAACTAAAAATTATTTGGCAATCGAAAATAAAAACGGTAAGTTTTCATTTATGTACATTTCTTGGAGATGAATATTTTATAAAACTGATTGTTGGGGAATCGATGAATTAAATAGACGTTATGCTACTATTTATTCCGTCTTTACCAGCCCAACCCTTTGCCACTTCAGTAATCGCAATCGATCGGACATCTATCCATTACGAAAACTCGTTCTGGCGGCATCTCCGATTCGGTCATCCGGCCAGCGGCGGGGCCATCATATTACGAACGGACGAACTATGCTCTCCTATCTGGAACCATGGGTCTTTTCGAAGTGCAGTTTGCGACCGGTTGGGATTCGGTAAGTGTTCACTAAACCGCAGTTAACAGTCATAAGTATTGGCGAAGCGCAGTGAAGTCAAAGTGTACATTTCTTGGAGATGAATATATTATAAAACTGATCTTTCGATTAGTTTTTTTAGAAAAGTATGTGGACTATATTGTTAAATCTATGAAAGTAAAGGTGAATTGGTTATGCATTATCATTTTATTTGTAACCTTAACTTGAAATATATGAATATTACAATGGGTCTTAATTTTCTAACTTTATATGTAACGGAAGGACTAAATATAATCATTAAGATTTGTTTATAAAAAGATGTGCAACTGAAAAAACAAAATTAGGACTAATTTTTTTTGAATGTGGACTATTATTAAAATAAGGAAAGTCAAAGGAGAAATTAATCATCATATCAACTTGTGTAACTATTAGAAATATTTTATATCATATAGTTCCTTTGTTATTGTATATTATTTTATTATTGAAAATATTTGTAATATTATCGCATTATTGATATTTCACCTTCCCTTCCAAGATAAAGATGATATGTCCTTAATAGTTTAGAATCAGCCCCCACTTGATTCGCTTCCCTTCATTATCAGACTGTAGGATTTAATATTATTTTGAAATGGAAGGAAAAGTGATTTATTGAATTTTTGTAACATGATATGTAAATTTTATATTATTTGTTGAGAAGTTTATTATTATTGTTTATTCAATAATTATTATGAAACAAAATAAGGAGAAAAAGAAAACGAACCACATACATAAATTATCTTCTTAACTTATAAGAAAATATGAGACTTGCTTTAAAATGTGACATATGGCACATTGTGGTGCCTTCTTTTAGGTTTCCTTTCATCTCTTTTTCTTTTTTGCTGTTTTTGTTTTTACTTTCCTATTTCCTAAGTTTTTTTTATTACTTTTAGACATTGGGGGTATGGTTGTCATTTTATTACTCCAGTTGGATATTTTGGGGTTACCATTATTTCTTTTTTCGTTTTATTTTTCTTTCCTTGCCTTTTCCTCTCTCTTTCTATCTACTGTAATTTTCATCCCATCGTTTTCTCTATCATCTTATATCTTTTCGTTTTCCTTTTTTTTATTTTTTTCCTTATTATCTTTTGCAGTTGTAAAAATTTTTTTCGTTCACAACCGTTGTTCCGTTAATTAGTGCGGTGTTCTCATATTTTTGGACTTCTACATCCAAATGTGTTTTCAATTTTTTTCTTTCGCGCCATCGTTGCCTTGCGTCGGATCAACCTCACAATTCAGCTAAGTTCTTATGTCGTTGTATTATATTCATTCATTATGTTACTGATTTTTTACCTTAAAATTATGTTGTTGTTTTTTTTTATTGGCTTATATGCAGCTATTCAATAAATCTGTATTCTTAGCCCATCTTACGCTAAATGTTGGGCAATAGGTTCATGATTTTTTACCAATTTATGATTTTTACTCATTGATTTTATACTTATGTGAAAATTCAGGTTCTAGGATTTTCATCTTCTGTTTTCTATCAAGTACCCTACTAAATTGTCGATCATGCCTACATGTTTCTTCTATGTTCTTTCTCTTTGTGTTTTTTATTTAAAAATTATCCTGCAGACCAACTTTATTTTCTTTAAATTACTTCTTTCCTCTATGGTTTCCTATCAAATTGATGATTGTTAAATACGTATTATGTGCAATAATTACTTTACTTTAGGGAGGCTGTAATAGATGGCTGCTATCACTGCCATGTGTTTTTTTTAATTGGTTCTTCTTTTACTCTTATTTTACTTCATAATGTAAGCGGCAGGTTTTTGTTATCATTATTTTTGACTTTAGCCGCTTGCTTCACGTGTACCATTCTTTTTGCTTATTATTTTACTCACTTCTTCTCCCCTCTACTATGTGTGTTTCTATTTATAGCAGATTCTACATTTCTTTGGTTTTTACTCATTTGCTGCAACTCTGTAAGTTTTTCTTCTTCAATTGTTCTCTGCATTTATTTTGTCATTTCCTTTGTATTTAGGCTGCTGTCTTTTATATTTCATTCTTTAGTTGTGCTTTTGTTTATGTTCTTTCTCTTTATTCAATGTGGTGTTTGTATGGTTTAAGGTTGATGTGCATTCAATGTGCTCTATGTTGTGTTTCATATTCTGACATTTGTTTTGGATGTTTCACTCATAAGTTATTTTTTTTTTCAACTTCGTTCTGTTCTGTTCATTTATTGTCCTGCTCTTATTGTTCAGTATGTATTTTTATTGAATGTATTTTTCCTTCTGTTTGGTGTGTACAACGTTTGTTTTTTTTTTCATTTACTTTTTCTCTTCTTTCTTTTTTCTTTTTCTTTTAGGTTTAATCTATGTATTTTCATTCTATTTGTGTTTACAGTCTCTTTAAGTATAAATGTTGGCCTTTCTCTGCAGTGACTTTTTTCATGTTTCTCATCGCATTTGATCATTTTTATGTCCTTCATGTCACTTGTGGAAGACCTCTACTTTTGTTTTTACTGCCTGTTCTTTGTAATCAAATCTTATATCCTTGTTTTTCTATCAGAGCTCATGTTGCTTTTCTTTCTCATAGGTAACAATTTTATGTGTCTTACCTATTTGTACAGATAATAATTCATTTTCTTTGCAGCTGTTGTTATTTCTGTGTAAACTTTTGGGTTTTATTTTTCACATATACTTGTTTTAAATATATTAACATCCGTTACTGTTCTTGCTTTGTTCAATTGGGTTTTCGATTGCTTTTGTGCAGGTGTATTCAACTGTTTTACAACAAAGAATTTGTCTGTTTCACCTGCTGATTTCTATATTTAGGCATCAGGTTTTTCTACAGACCTTCGTACTTATTTAATATCGCATAAAAGTTTTTGTTTATTTTAAACTGTTGGTGTATATATATTTACTTCATTTGCTTTTCATTTGGTGATGAGGAAAAAAAGGAAATATGTTGACATTGTCCTGCCAATGGGTGGGGATGTCCTTGCTAAAAAACAATATAGGCAAGAGGCTATAAGAAGGTGGAGATTAAAAAAAATGAAAACAAATTTGACAGTGAATTATACAACTTATATGGACATTCAAAGCAATGTTGTGTTGCCTCACATTAGTGCTTTAACTTTAGATTCATTTGGTGAACAACGTAGACAAGAATCCATTGAAAAATGTAAACCAAGGAAGATACATCTGAATCTGTTAAGCCTTCTATCACATTTCTTAGTGACACTGATGTGGTTAGACACCATTATACAATTAAACCTATTGATGTGGTGAAAAGAACTGGTCTTTATGATTCTGAGGTAGGGTCCAGTAACGCATCCAATCTTAGAAAAAGGGTTAATGAAACATTAAATGACATACAGATAGAGCAACTTAATTGTAAGAGAAGTAAAAAAATGCATTTAAGAGATGGTAGAAACAGACTTACATCTATTCCTTTAGCGCCTGCAGTCTTACGGAATGTGCCAAACTGTCCACACTGTCCTGCAAAGAAATTTGAATATGAAACATATAACTTATGTTGTTTAGATGGAGATGTGTGTTTAGCTACTAATGATGCTCCTCTTATATTTCAAGAACTTTACACGTCTTCGTCATTAGAAGCAAACTTATTCAGAACTTGCATTCGAACAATCAATAATCATTTTGCTTTCACTTCTATGGGAGTGCACTATGATAAGGCTCTCAGTAAGCGTAATAATGGAATTTATACCTTCAGAGTGCAAGGTCAAATATACCATTTCATAGATAATTTCTTTGAATCTAAAAACCTTCAGTTGTATTTTCATGACACCGATACTGAAGTTGCTAAAAGGCTGGAAGCATGCCCTAGATTAACAGAATCATTAATTGAAAAAATCCTACAGTTCTCCAACATAATCCATATGTAAAATTTTTAAGGAGGCTTAAGGATGTACCTAATTTAGACTCATGTCACATTATATTAAAAACATTACCTAATGTTGATCAAAGAGTTTTTAATCAACCAGAAGTTTCACAAGTAGCTGCATTATGGGTTGAGGATGAAGATAATGGTGAAACAACTGAACGAAACATAATTGTGCATTCACATGGAGGACATTCTCACAATATAAGTTATTATTATGGTTGCTATGACCCTTTACAATATCCTCTACTTTTTCCATTGGGAGAAGTTGGCTGGCACCAAGGTATAAAGAGAAAAAGTAGTTTGCAGGGTAATAACACAAAGACTTCCGTTATAAACGTTGCTCCTCATTTAGCAATGGACTTAAATGAATTATTAAGCACAGAGTTTGCTGGTTAGTATCATATGTCCAATGTTGTCGATTAAATTTATTTTTTATGTATTTTGATTAGTAATCAGTAATTTTCTAAATTCTAATTTCCTGTCTTTTTTCCTTGCTCTCCAGCTCAATCTATATCACCAGATGATTTGAGCTTTGTGTCTCTTAGGGCATATTATTCATACAAACTGCAGATTAGAGAACGTGATAAATCATTTTTATTAAGGTCTGGTATACTCTTACAACAATATATAGTTGATATGTACGTTAAATTAGAATCACAGCGTCTAGATTTTTTGAGACTTCAACAACAAGAGATTAGAAATGAATATTTACAGGGAATTCAAGATGCATTAAGTTCAGGAGAAACTGAAGGTTCTAAAATAGGACAAAGAGTTTTCTTGCCAGCAAGCTTTATTGGAGGTCCAAGAAATATAAAAAGACGATATATTGATACAATGACTTTAGTTCAGAAATTTGGTAAACCAGACATTTTTTTAACTATAACTTGTAATCCCAACTGGACTGAAATAAAAAATCTTTTATTGCAATCTGAAGAAATACAAAACAGGCCAGATTTAGTTGCAAGAGTATTTAATGCCAAGTTAACAAAGTTAAAAGATGATTTATTTAAAAAAAATATTTTTGGTGAGGTTGCTGCATACACTTATGTTATTGAATTTCAAAAAAGAGGGTTACCAAATGCACATTTTCTCATTATTTTGCATCCACAGTTTAAACTCTTTAGAAGTGAAGAATTCGATAAAATTGTGTCTGCTGAAATACCAAATAAACTTACTCATCCTCATTTGTATGCTATGGTCAAGAAACATATGATACACGGACCTTGTGGTGAGCTAAATTTAAGTAATTCATGCATGACAAAAGAAAGGAAAATGTCGGTTCGCATACCCTAAAACATTCTGTGAAGAAACAAGGCAAGTTTCAGGTGCTTTTCCTCAATATCGTAGAAGAGAAAACAACATCAAAGTAAAAGTCAGAGGTCAAGAATTGGATAATAGGTGGGTTGTCCCTTACAATACATATTTGCTTGCGAAATACAATTGTCATATAAATGCCGAAATTTGTTCCACTATACATGCAGTGAACTATATTTATAAATATATATGCAAAGGTCATGATAGAATAAATTTTCACCTTGCTTCTGATAGTCCAAATGAGAGTATTGATGAAATTAGACAATATACGTCTGCTAGATGGGTTTCTCCTCCTGAAGCGGCTTGGAGAATATTTAGATTTTCAGTGGGAGATATAAAACCTGCAGTTATTCATCTTCAATGCCATTTACCTAACTATCAAAGAATTCATTTTAAAAGAAAAGATAAATTAAACAATATTATTAGAAATCCTCTGAATGATAGGACAATGTTAACACAATTTTTTTATATGAACAGAACTAATAAATATGCTAAAGAATTAAATTTAACTTATGCTGAATTTCCTAAATATTTCGTCTGGATTACCAATGAAAAGAGATGGAAAAATCAAGAGAGACAAGAATCAGTCGGCAGAATAGTCTCTGCGCATCCTTCTGAAGGCGAACGTTATTACCTTATATTGCTTTTATTAAAAGTGCGTTGTCCAAAATCCTTTGAAGATTTAAAATTATATAATGGTGTTATGGCTAAAACATTCCATGAGGCTGCATTGAATAGAGGTCTGTTAAAAGATGATGATAGTCAATATCTGTGTTTATAAGAAGCTGTTCAATTTAAAATGCCCTATGAACTTCGGAGACTTTTTGCGAATATTTTAGTTTATTCATGTCCAAATAATCCTAGAGATTTATGGTTAAAGTTTGAATCGCATATGTCTGAAGATTTTAGTCGAGACCCATCACTATCGCCCACCCAAATAAGAACTCAAGTTCTAGCTCAGATTGCTTGCTTTTTAGAGTCAATGGGTAAGTCAATTAATTCTTTTGACCTTCTGCCTGATAATATCCCAAACCTGGATTCTACACATTTAACAAGAGAATTAACAACAAAAAAAAAAATGTAACTGTCTCAGTGGAAGATTTAAATGCAATTCAATTATTGAATGATAGACAAAAGTATGCCTTTCGTTTAATTTGCACTCGTGTTTATAATAATGAAGCAGGTGCATTTTTTATAGATAGTCCTGGAGGAACAGGTAAATCGTTTCTTTATAGAGCTTTATTAGCAGATATTAGATCAAAAGGATATATAGGTTTAGCAACAGCTACTTCGGGTATTGCCGCTTCTATCTTACCAGGTGGTAGAACAGCACCATTCAAGATTTAAGATACCTTTAGATTTATCAAAAGGAGAAACTTGTAAAATCAGTAAACAGAGTAGTCTTGCAATATTATTAAGAGAGTGTAAAATAATTATATGGGATGAAGCACCAATGGCTAAAAGATCAGCAATCGAATCGTTAGACAAATTACTTAAAGACATTTTAGACTCAAATGAAATATTTGGAGGAAAAGTCATAGTGTTTGGAGGCGATTTTAGACAGGTGCTGCCAGTTGTTCGTAGAGGAAGCAGAACTGAAACAATTGATGCTTGTTTAGTTAATTCACCACTGTGGCCACATCTACAAAAAATAGAACTAACGGAAAACATGCGTGCTAAATTAGATCCTGTGTTTTCAAACTATCTATTAAAGGTTGGTAATGGAGTGGAACCAACAGATTCAAATAATTTGATTCGAATACCTGCATTTATTAACACATTGTCTATGAATGATGTTGATGATATTGATAAATTTATTAATGTTGTTTACCCAGATTTATGCAATTAAATAATGACGCACTTTCAATTAATCGTGCTATATTAAGTACAAGAAATAATTTTGTTGATGAAGTGAATAATATACTCATAGATAGATTTCCAGGTGAAGCAATGGAATATTTCAGTTTTGATGAGACTCGAAATCCTACACATAGAGGTCAATATGAAGACATTATTAATTCATTAACACCAAGTGGTATGCCACCTCATAAGTTAGTTTTGAAAAAGAATTGTCTGATAGTATTGCTCCGTAATTTAGATCCAACTGAAGGATTATGCAATGGTACAAGATTAAGGTGTAAGAATTTAACAAAAAACATTATACATGTAGAGATAATTGTAGGTGACTTTGCTGGCAAAGAAGTTTTTATACATAGAATACCATTAGAGCCACCAAGTGATCAGCAATATCCAGTGCCTTATGTTAGAACACAATTTCCTGTACGATTGTCGTTTGCAATGACGATCAACAAAGCGCAAGGGCAAACTTTAGATTCAGTCAGTATTTATTTGAAAGAACCAGTTTTCTCTCATGGTCAATTATATGTTGCTCTATCACGAGCAAGATTGTCATCTAATGTTACAGTTCTTATTAAACCACCTTATTTTGACAAGAAAAAGGTTCGGCACACGAAAAATATTGTTTACCAAGAAATTTTAGATGCAGCAAGACAATAGCTTCTATATATGTTTTCCTATTGTTAAACTTAACTATCTGTTATATGTATGCATTACTTTACACTTTTTTGCATATATATGATATTGTTTGGATAATATCTAACTATTCATTATTTATTTTGTTGTTTTATCTTACTTTTTTTTTTTTCTTCCCCTTCTCTTGTTCCTCTGTTTTTTCACTTCATTTTCCATGCACTGCTGTATCAACACAGGATGTCTCGAAAGTATCTTCAAATTAAGGATGTCAATGTTGACACTGAAGGATGGACAGTGATTATCCAAGTTGTCGAATAAGGTCACGTTCAGATTGGTCGTTATGGAAAAAGAGTGCCTTACCGAAAATATGTTTTCACAGATTCGCAGGTTTGATTGTTATATTATTATGCTCTTTTTTTTTTCAAAACAATTGTTACTAACTTGTTCTGAAATGCATATATACTTCTATACATATTATATAATAATTGTGTTTACATTCCCATGTACTAAAAAAAGTTTTATAATTAATCTAGGGAACAATTGTATCTGCAACTGTTTATGGATCCGCTCAAATTCAGTTCTGGGATGAACGCATCATACAGTATAAAAGATACTATGTTTCTGGGGCAACTGTGCAGCAAGCAAATCCTTTATATCAAATCAGTGACTATGGTTTCACTTGGACAATACAAAAAGGCACATTGATTGAAGAATATCCTGAAAAATTACCTCCACAGCTCCCGTGCAAAATACACCTCCAGGAGTACAGCAAACTGAGCATGTTTGCAGAGACAAAAACTTTACAAAGTAAGCCTTAACCTTTTGTTAAAAAACAAAAAATAGAAAACAAAAAAAAATATCACAAATGATTTCTATTTTCTCCGTACATTACTACCCACTTAACAATAATGAATGACAAAAATTATTTACGATAACATTTCATCTTTTTGTTCCTTTCCACAGATGTCATGGGTGTTGTTGTTCATGTGTTGCCGCAAAAAGATGCTTCTTCAACTTCAAACACAAAAAATCTTGTCATCGTCAATGCAGTGTATAATTAATGCATCCTATACACTTTATATGGTGAAATATGAAATATAAAAGTCCATTTAATTTATTTCTGTCCAATTACTTTCAACAGAAACAGGCCTATGATTTTTACATTGTGGGGCGAATTTGCAAAAGAAGAAGGTCAACAATTAGCAAGCACATTGGCTACTGGCAACATTATTGTTGCAACAAGGGTCAGGGTAACAACTTTCAACTGTAAGTGCTTAGTCGCTCTACCCATGCTATTTCAAATCTAATCATCACTGTCTACAAATATACACATTATTTAAATGTTTTCCATTGCCAGTGCTATCACTAACAACAACTCACTTGAGCACAATAATGATAAATCCTCCCATGGCAGAAAGTGTCTCTCTCAAGCAATGGTAACAAATGAGTCTATTATATTTTTTACATATTTTTATCATTTAATTTCTGCTACAGTCAATTACATTTAAATATATAGGTACATTGACCACAAAGAAGAAGTGAACCATCAGCTGGAACTCAAAGTGTATGAAAACCCTGAGTTTCTCTTACCACCACCAAACGAATCACAAATTATCTCTGTCCACTCAGCTTTAAAAAATTTGCAGACTGTAAGAATTTAAATCTTCTGTACAAGTAACTGTTTTTGTAAGAAATACACTATTGTACATTAAAAAAACAATAATCATATCTAATATATTTAGCTGAAGACGGCATGGATTTGAGGAAAGGCTGTTCTTGCATTTGGACAAACATCTTACTGGTTCACAGCTTGCCACAATTGCAAAAAAGGTTTGCGCGCTCAAATCGGATGGATAGTGACATGTCCTCATTGCAAGGCAGAAGGACCAGTAGAACCTAGGTATGAAAATAATAAATTTCGCACTATACTGAGAACATTTTGTTTATAAATATCGTTTACAATGTCATAAAAACACTGGTTGCAGGTCTAGATTTACTTTGGGCATTGAAGACAACACTGGTCTCATACAAGCTGTTATCAGTGGTCCAGAAGCTGACCAACTACTTCCAATGACCGCAGCCCAAATGAGTCTCAACAAAAACCAGGTAACAAAAAGTTTATGAATATATTTTTTTCCCATTATTTTTTTCTTTTTTTTTTTCGGAACGAAAGAGATATTATATCAAACTTCAAAATAGAACAAAGTTCTAATACAAACACGACCCACAGCCGAAAAAGAAAACTGGGAGGACACGCTATAGAGCGGCCTAAAAATCCCATAGACGGGATATGACCCCCACAGGGTAAACCACAAGAGCACTAAAACACACAAAAGGCAATACAAAGACCCCCACAGGGTAATCCCCGAGTGTCGGGCCCCCACGGGGTAATAAAGTGACACCCGGGCGCACAGGGGCCAACGGCCCAAACCTAAGACACAAAAAACAAACACAAACACAAACAAACACAAACACAGACAACACAAGACACTAGAAGCAGATAACCAAATAACATAATAGCCCTTCCTCGGCAAAAGAACGGTTCCAGCCAGCGATGATAGATCGACTCTGGGAAGAAGATTCCAAGCCAGAGAAAACACTACCGAAATTGCACAAATGCCTATACAGTAGCCGAACTCGGGCCCCGAACCAATCCCTCAAATCAACCCATCTCCAATCGAGAGAGAATCGACCAGCCCCCACACCCACCCGGCCCGTCTAACACCACTAGCCGAGCCCAGGGTCCCCCGCCGCCTAACACCACTAGCCGAAATAGGGGAAGGTGGGGGTGGTTCGGTCCCTCAACCCCGACTGCCACAACCAGAAAAACTACAACAAACGGAGTCCCGCCACTCCCAATGACACACTCGCCGAACAACACCACCACAGCTAGCCCTCGACCAAAAGCCTTTGCTCATCCCGAAAAGGCGGAGCCCCGCCGAAAATAGCAACGCCCAAAAATCGCGGACAGGGAGAGGAGAGAGGGACTTACCGCCACAAATCGGAGTTCCACCGGCGACTGAGGGAAAGACACCAGGCCAGACGCCGAACGGGCAGTACGCCACCACCGACCGAAGCCCCATCGACAATCGAAGACTAGACCTCCAATCGTGAACCGACCACAGCGGCACGTCGACGCGCAGCATCAGGAGTAGCCAAGCGGTCGAGGACGACCCCTAGCCGAGACTCCGCCGACGCCGAGGAAGGCAAATCGACCGTCAATTTGGACTGAGCAAGCGAATTTGGGTGTTTAGGGTTTAGAAAGAGAGAGATGGAAATTGATTGTTTCGATTGTTGATTTATTCAAGTTCAGGACTAACTCAAAATTTTTATTATTTTTTTCAATGTCTCCCTATTGTAGTTAGTATGGTACGAAAAATAAAAAAAACAATAACTATATATTAGAGTTTATATTAAATTAATACAAATCATTTTTTGGTGTAATATATGGTTGTTAATTTTTCATTGCAGCTGGAAAATGCCATGGAGGTAGAAGCAAATTTTTTAAAAAAAGCAGATCACCTATTTTGTGAGGCACTACATTTCTGAATATCAAGACAAAAATGAATCAAATTTGCTATTGTGGTTGTCTATGTGAACAAGGATAATAGTGAAGATATGCTGCCTTTGGATGAAACAAACACATCTGTTCACTCACAGAGACTCGGCAAACAGGTTCAAAAAACACTGCACCATATACTCGTTAAGTTTTTTAATATATATATATATATATATATATATATGTACCATTCTATTTATTCTTTTCTTTCATTAATTGACACATATACTTTCTAACAACAATACATTCATTATTGCTCAATATGTATTTATACACAATAGGTTGCCGTTGAGGAGCAGCTCACACCAACTGCACACAAAGTTCTTGCCTCAATACTTAATACACCATCACCAATTACCCTTGACAAACAAAACAAACAAGGAGCAAAAAGATCCATCAACTTTGATCTCCAAACAAATGAACCAACTGATGCAGACCAAGTAGAAGCAGATCATCCAGAAGGACCAGTCAGTGGAGGTTCGACTAAACGCCAGAAAAAAAATCCATAGCCCAGCCCTCTAAAATACCCTCTCTTTTGTGTAGACGCTACGTTTTGGAAGACCGATAACAGCTTAAGCTCTCATGCATCATCCGTTTTGTCGACACCCAACCTTTTGTGTACATATTCTGTTTAGAAATAGCTATCAACTTTCCTATTAATATTCCCTAAGTTTGGATTCCAGTTCAAACTTAGTAAATATTAATGTTTATATTATGACATATTGGCTATTGTAATTAAGGATAACCATTGCATGAGAAACTTGACTATACTATTTTGTGCTCAAAATTAATGTAATGATTATGGCTTAGTATAAGGTCTTCATACATTTGCAATGTACTATTTTGTGCTCCTCAAAATTAATTTAATGATGATGGCTTACTATAAGGTCTTCATACATTTGCAATGCAATTTATAGCTTGTTCATTACCCAGCCCATAAGAAATGGTTGCCAATTCATTTACACCTATTTTTTCTTATTTACATCTTTTATGGTCTAATGTTTCGAATATAATTTTGTATAATCAGCGCAATGCTTTTGTCTAATGTGATTATTCTCATATTAATCATTATGTACCATAGGCAAATAAAAGTTTTGCACACCAAAACAATAATATAACACTTTCACGCAAATTTAAACAACCAACTAATATTTCTTTCAAAAACAGTTGTATACATAATGCTAAAAATTACAAATCACAGAACAAACATTTCAAAACAAACACAAGAATTAGGACAAGTGATGACTGAACATGTTGAACCTTCAAAAATTCCAGTAAAATCAACAAATTCTCTACCCTCCATCTTCTGCATCAACACTTTGCCATGCCGAGCAACAATTTGAACTTCATACGGGACATCTTCGAGTATCAACAGGCATTGACTTAAGTCCTCGAATTCATTAACCAAATATGAACGCCAGAATTCCATCGGAATGGGCTGCATTTAAAACATATTCTAAAGTGATAAATTTCACTCAAAAGATAATGCAACTGTAAAATGAAAAATTAACAGAACTTCTTGTATTACCAAATATGCACGTTCGATGTACAATTTCTTGATCTCCAAAGTAAAACGATATCGCAAAGGCCGCTCGACTGCATTTTCCTCAACCACACTCACCGTAAAATCTGTAAGACTATTACGATCAAACCAAAGATAATATCCACTCTTAATATTCTCGAATGCCATAAACTGGAACCATCCATTATGAAAGAATACCCCCTCAGCATTCCCTTCCATTCTCACCCAATATGTTCGACCATATCTCATACTAAACTTACACTCAAGAGGTACAACAGTCATGTACTCTTCAACAATCCCAGATGGAAGTCTCTACATTACAAAAAAAAAAAAAAATTAATTCATTAAGTACATATATTGACATAAAGATTAATTTTACCTAAAGTTAATCTTGTAAATAAATTTTACAATACATTACCATTTTTTGTTCGTCCGGATTGGAAATAGCAATAAAAAAACTTTTGAAATGAACAGGCATGATGAATAGCATGTACAATTAATACATAAATACATTAGCTCTACATGAAGAAAAAAAAAACAAACAAAACGGCCATAAAAGATAATATTATCTTCAAACCTACAACACAAAAAAAAGTATATAGAAAAAAATTCTTATAATATTTAATGACCTAACAAAACTCTTTGCCATTCGAGAATAAAATTCAATTAACATATTTTTTAACTGTAAATTAATACAACCCAAAAATCAATTAACCCCCAAATTTATAACTAATTTGCCGCAACAATATTCACAATAATGAAGCAGAATATACGAATTTCCAACACACCCAAAAAAAATAAAATCGACACCTATATGAACAAATATAAAACTGCACATCCATGAACAAATCTTCACCAATTGTGCTGAAACAAAGAGATAGAAAAAATAAAATAAAAAACCTTTGGATAGCAACCACCTTCGCAAATAGGAGAAGAACAATAAATCCTTTACACTATTTTTTCGTTGCCCAGAGACACGCCCCACACAANAGTCTTCGAGAGAAAGAAAAAAAAAAAAGAAAAAAAACTACCGAACAATGACTTCTTCAAATTGAGAGAGAGATATTATAAACATATGAGTTCACATTTATTATTTGATTTTTTTCCTTTTTTATTAATAATATTTAATGACCTACCAAAATTCTCACCTACTACCAACTATAAGTTACATTAACAATAACTCAATTTAATACCATAAAAAAATATTAACTACTTACACCTATCATAAATACCAACATTTATGCAAAATAAATCACTATTTTAATCTCAACAGATCAAAAAAATTTAAACCGTATGGGCCGACTGTGCGTAAGTTTCTAGTAATTAAGTTATGATTAAATGTTTTCCAGCAATGAGAATTGCTTGTAAGAACTAAAAAATATATATATATTTTTTAACCATTCAAAACACGCCACATCATTGGTCTAAAACTGTCACAGAAAAAGGAAAAGAAAAATGAAAATGTTACAGGGTAATAAGTGAAAAAAACGTGTCATTCTAAACCCAAAAATGTCACAAAAACAAGGGAAATGTTATTATGGTACATAATATTGTACATAAGGATGTACATAATACATTGAGTGGAACCTACCAAAAATAAAAAATTAAGTAGACTTCACTCCATGTGAGTGTTATGTACACCTCTATCTGCATAATAAATGATTTAGGCGGGAAAAGTAGGTTATCCACATTAATTGGACTAATGTTGTTACCCGTACGATGCACGAGATACAATATAGAAAAATATTTTTATTTAATATTATTAAATTATTTAAGATAATGTGTCAATTCTATTCGACACAACATATCAAGTATGTAATAATATAATATTTATTTAAATATTTTAGTTTTAATTTTTCCCATTTATTTTTGTAGGTATGAAATTTATTAGTTATTAGTTTATAAAAAATTATAAAAGTGTAAGATTTAAAATACAATGATTGTATACCAATTACTTGCATGTACTTATATAATTATCGATTATATTAATTTTAATATCTTTTAGAAATTCATATTTTGCTTATTGCTTGATAACTAACCAAAGTTTAATCCATAAAATTAGTTTTATTTATAGTCACTCTAATTGCATAAAATACTAACTTATGATAATTAACTTTTAATTTTTAGTAACTTTTATCTCTTGTGCAGTACAAATTTTTCAAGGTAAATATTTTATTTTAAATTTTAACAATTTTTATATATTTATTTATATAATTCATTTTCCTCAACATATATAATAATTTAATTAATTAAAAAATTAATATTATTATATTCCAATGACTATAAAATCTTATAGTTTTAATTATTACTTGATTATATAATTTTATTTACTCATTTTTCCTTATAAAATGATATATAATAAAAATTATACTTTTTAACACCCTGAATAGTATTTTTGATGTATATAGATATTTTAATGTAAAATTTGTAATTCTTAATTTTATCCGACCATAAAAAGATAATTTATAAATATATATTCATTTTATTTTAATTTATTCATGGTTAAGCTGACTACATTTTATAAAAAATTATTTATATTTTATTTTATTCATTAAGCTAATATAATTCAAACATAATTATTTTTATTATTTTATTATAAATTAAGTTTTTTGATTGATGAACATAATTCATATCTACAACTATGAGATGATAAAACTAATCAAAATAATTTTTATATGTATAATTAATAATTTTTTAAAAAAAAATTATATCAACAAAATTACTGTGAAATCAATATTATTGGTTATTCAAAATATATCCAATCAATCAATCATTGTATTTAAGTCAATTCATACTTAATGTGTATTAGCCATAATGTAAAAATAAAAAATAAAAAAATTGTATTCATATGTAAAATCTGTTGATAAATAAAGCCTAATTATACGCCAAATATAAACGATTTTTTCATGTCCAAAACTATATCAATTGTGGTAATATAGATTGCTATATATAGATATAGATATAGATTTTTATCAACCTATATATCATTTTAGTGATTACCAGATGCCATTATGGTACTCGGGTGTAATTTTTATTTATTCTATTTATAAAGATATATAGTCAGAATTTTATTTTTCTCACAAATAAATAGCTTTTAGTGTGAGTGTGTGTGTGTGTTTGTTTATATATTACTATTGACTTATATATATATTTACCCAACCATAAAAACAAAACTTGTACTAATACATTTATATCTTTGGGTATATTATTAAAATAATTAATTTATCTTCACATATCTCTGAGACCAATTTTTACTTCAAGAAATAATTAGTTTAAATCTTCTCAAATTTGTACTAATACATTTATATCTTCGAGTATCTTATTAAAGTAATTAATTTATCTTCACGAATCTCTTAGACCAAATTTTAATTCAAACACTAACTGGTTTAAATCTTCTCAAATTCCCTAATGAACTAACTAATTTTGGTTTTATGTAATAAGTTAATGTCTAATCGTAATTCCCAATTTTAGCTTAAATATTTGGGTGGGAAAATTTGTGACAAATATAGCAAAATGGATTGGTCCATTATATAGATAAAGATAAACATAAAGATAGCCTACAATTATATATATATAGATTTGACCTACTATTTTTAAAAAATGGTTATATTATTATTATTATTATTATTATTATTATTATTATTAATACACATACACACACACACACACACACACACACATATATATATATATATATTTTAATCCAATTTCACTATTTTCCAAATTATCCATATCATCCTTATATATAATTGTAAAATGTGGCAAAATTTCTTGCTTCATTATTTGACTCGGATAAATTTCAATTTACTTCTAATTAAAAAATAATTAAGTCCGAATCATCCATAAATATATTGATTATTTATAAACATTTTAGATTTATTAATTGTATTTTAATATCGTTTCCTATTATAACCATTGAATTGTAAATGTATTTAAAAAATTAATGACTTTTGTATTTTCTTATCAGTTTTACATATATAATATATCAAATTAATTTCTCTTGTTGAACTTTGATTTGACATTCATATGTATGTATAAAATAAATAAATTAAATGTATTTTTATAATAATGATAAAATTGTTTATTAATATTAATAAGAAAAATAGAATTATTTATCTGTTAATATTTATGTCTAAAATAGTTATATGGTATAATTTAGAAAAATTATAATAATATAACACATGTAAGTCGCATTGTCATTCTAAAATATATATAATATATATTTTTTTGTGAAAAGTATTTAAATTTTCTCATTAATTTTAAATTTAAGAATATTTTTTAACAAGCACCCATGTAAAACACGATGTTGTACTAATAATTAAATTATATCGATGGATCATTCTTATACATTACATCAACTTTATTTCATCTTAGCATTTAACTAATCATCACTTCATATCACGTCATTTTTCTCCTACTTTTACGTCAAATCTACTTTAATTATTTTATTTCAGATAATATTTTAATATAAACTCAAAATTTCACTAACAACTAACTATACCACATTTTTAAAATTAACAAAACAAAACCAAAAAAAATTATGTCCAACATCACTCATACTTTTACATCAAATCTACTTTAGTTATTTTACTAATTATTATTTTGATATAGACTCAAAATTCCACTAACAACTAACTAAACAATATTTTTTAAAATTAACCAAAAAAAAATCCAAATAAAACCAAATAATTTTAGGAAAAGTCTAAAGTCCCGTGGTTCATTTTCAGGGAATCATTCCCTTAGTTAAAAGCCAATAGAATTCAGCCACCTCATTAATTTATTATGGACTTCATACACTCTATAATTCTCATATAAATCGTTGATAACACTCCTAATCAAAACACTTACATTTTTCATGCTACTATGTATTCTAATAATTAAAAAATTATAAGATCAATTAATTTAAAACAAATAATGAATGAATGAATCAAAATAAAAAAAAATTAAAGTATTTTTTATTTATGATATAATATAAATAATTAGGTGGGTTTTTAGTATAATTTATTTGTGAAAAGATTTTTCAAGAAATAACTGAACATATTTCTTGCGAGTTTTTATTATTCAATAGGTTAGAGTGAGTTGAACAAACATAATGATAGTTAACTTTCAACAATAATATTTTTATTTCTTTTACTAATTTTGAATTTTTACTAATGATATAGTTTATTGAATTGAAGAAATTTTTAACAATACCATATTTTAGTGAATTGCACAAACGGATATTAGTTTTGTATCGCAAAGAAATTATCCAACAATTTTTTTGTTTGAGGAAAATATTGGTAAATTTAAAATAACATTCAAGAGTTTATCGAAATTTGAGTTTGAAGAAAATATTGGTAAATTTAAAATCAACATTTACAGAATTTTGATTAAAATGTTGATAAATTCAAAATCAACATATTAAATCTCCTCTCTCCCCCCCACTCACACACACACACACACACACACACATATATATATATATATATATATATATATATATGATCCTTATATATAATT